ACCCAGAACATATTCAGAGCTCTTCGACGGGCCCAAAAATGTTTTTAAACGCACTCAATGGGGGGCACCTGCGTGGCTCAGTCGGTTGAGCATCCGACTTCGGCTCAGGTCATGATCTTGCGGTTCGTGAGTTCGAGCCCCACACCTGTCAGCCTGTCAGCACGGAGCCCGCTTCAGATCCTCTGTCCCCCTCTCTCTGCCCCTCCCCCGCTTGTGCTCCCCCCAAAAATATATATATATATTTTTAAAAACTGAACTTAACGTATTGAAGAGAATAAGACAGTTGTTCTGCAAGATGCGCCACTTTCTGGATACACCAGGTGGCTTCCCTGTGATGCCCTTTAGCTTGTCTTTGGCTCTCTCCCCTGTACTTCCTCTCAACCGGAAGTTATTCGCTGGTGTGGTGGCAAGTTTTCACCACCCAGGGTTTTGGCCCATTTCTGTGAGCGTCCAATGTGACATCCCGGAATTCAGAGTTAGAGACAGATGCACGCAACCTGCCAGCTGAAACCAGTTCCAGCACCCGCTTCCCGATGGATGGGATAAGGCTTTTGGAGGGGAAGAGGGGAGCAGGCTGGCTGGAGAAAGACCTGAAGAGCGTCCCCACCACCATCCCCAGAGACTGTGGACGAGGCAGCCTGATATGTGCTCCAGGAGTGGAAGGGACTGGCAGCCTCTGTCACCTCTAGCAGGAATGGCGGGGGCGGGGGCGGGGGTGGGGGGAGGGGTGAAGTGAACCACACAAGCTGTGGCCTCAGAAGCCATAAGCGAATACCCCTGTCACGGAGCGCGCCCAAGAAGCAAGGGTGGCAGCTAAATCCCCCAGGGCCCTGGCTCCTGGGGTGGGCTGCTCTCCACTGATGGCCACAGATCCCCAGGAGGACTGAGTCCCAGCTGCCCACAGAGCTAACTTGCTCGGTAACCATCCCTTTGTGGGTTCTCTTTCCTTCCCTTCGCCGGCTCCTCTCTGCACCCCTCTACCCCGGCTTCCCGGGACCACCTCCCAAATAAAGGGCTGGCCCTCAAACCCGTGTCAGGTCCTGCTTCCGGGACCCGAGCTGAGACACAAGGCGGCAGGGGATCGGAACTGGCGTGAGGCTATTTCGAGGGTTTACGTTTTTTACAAAGGCACGTATTCATTTATTATTGATGCAATTAAAAATCAATTTCAAATAATAAATTTTTAAGAGGAAAAACTACAGGTAGAAGCCACAGAAGATTCACTGAGAGAGACCACAGCCTCGCTCCCTGCTTTGTTGGCCTGACTGAGAACCCGCCGTCCCCCTGACCCTCATACCTCTCCCCGCACACCCCAAGACACGACAAGGGCAGGTGATAATTTTAAGAGGAGCTGACGTTTGCTGCGCAGATACCGTGCCGAGTGCTTTGTGCAGATTATCTGTTTTACATGCTTAGAGCACGTGTATGTATCACCCCTCCCTCCCAAGCTCCCTTTAATATAATCGTGAAGGAACAAAAAAAGGTATAAAGCCACAATGAGGAGGGGGGGCAGGGTGTCACCAGATGAGGGGTTTCAACACATTTCTGGAAGACAGAGAGCAGAAGGAAGGGTGGTGACAGGTGACACAGAGCAGAGAGAGCCACAGCTGGAATCCTCCCAGGCGGGGAAGCACAAGGGGGAGGCTCCAGGGGGAGACCGCGGAGGGGCGGGGGAGGGGGGTCCCTGAGGGCAAGAGTGGGAACCGGGGCTGCAAGGGGCTGCAAACAGGACTGACTGAGGGTCACCACCCCCACCACTCCCACCTCTGGGGGCAGGAGAGCCATGAGCAAACTTCTTGGTTTCTTAGAGTTCACGCCAAAGCAGGGACGACCCTCTTCTGAAGACACGGCACACATTTTCTGCGGAGAACTGGAGAGGCTTGTGTATACACAGTGGCTTCGAAGAAAGCCGCCCCCGCACTCCCCCCCCCACCATGATCCAGCATCTGGGAGACCCCAGCTCCCCTCAGGCTCACCTCAGTGGAGTCCCCCAACCACCAGTCCCCGCCCGTGTCACACAACCCCACAACGCTCTGGTCCACGTCGCTCCTCCGGCTACACAGGAAGAGACGCCCCCCACCCCCCACCCCGGCTGTTCATCCAAAGAAAGGCTGCAACATCAAAGAGAAAGACAGAGAAGAACAACAGGAAAATTGATCCTGGAGGAAACAGATACTTTGGTAAACTGGGGAGAGTTTGAAGAAAGATGAGAAAGAGGAGAAGCCATCGCACCCATAAAGCAAGAAGGTGGCACTAACAATTAGAGAAAGGAGGAGCCCTTGGAAGTTCCAAATATGAGGACAGAGCGAAAGAAGTTGACTGACGGCCGGAAAGAAAAAAAAATCGAGAGATTCTTCCAGAACATAGAGTATAATGAAGGAGAGTGAAACCATAAAAGATAAGAGACAGGCAGAATCATCCGGGAGGTGCAACACGTGAGAACAACAGAAGTTTCAGAAAGAAAGCCCAGCAAAGGCAGAGGGAAAGAATCTACAAATCGTCCCAACCCTTGTGGCTTAGGGCAGCCCTGGAAGAGGCGGGCTCTGCGGGGCTGGGGGCTTTTGTTTTGTGTGTTCCATGTCAGTGTCCCTACTCATGTCCCTTAGTGTTTAAAGGTCTCAAGAGGAGCCAAGCTGGGTAGAGCATATCCCAGGGACCCAAGTGTGAAATGAACAAGGGGCAACCCTGGGCCCTGGTGTGGTGGTACCTGTAGATTTCAAAGTGAGGATCCCCCAGCGGAAGGGGGCTCAGGGGCCAGAAGGTCGGAGCTGCTCACTTCTCATCCCGCTAAGACATTGTCCTCCCAGAGCTAGATCCTAGGAGGCTTCGGGTTTTGTTTGAAAAAGGAGGGGGGTTTTCCATTACAGCTTCTCTTGCAGATGGGGAAGTCAACTTGTCCGACATGCCTTAAAACCAGAGGGCAACACTAAGGTTTGTGGACGGGTCTGATGGGAGTTGATCGGGGCAGAAGCTATAAAAGCCTTCTCAACAGATGTTTCTGATAGCAGAACGGGATGCCTGGCAAAGGAGCGAGCCCTCTGTCGCTGGAGGTATTCAAGCGGAACCCAGAGAAACATCTGTCAGGAAAACTATAAAAGGAATTGGAACCCTAGAACAGGTAAATTCAGAGAGATAGAAAGTAGAATAAAGACTATCAGAGGGAGGGGTGCCTGGGTGGCTCTGTCGGTTGAGTGTCCGACTTTGGCTCAGGTCATGATCTCATGGCTCGTGGGTTCGAGCCCCGCGTCGGGCTCTGTGTTGCCAGCTCGGAGCCTGGAGCCTGGTTCAGATCCTGTGTCTCCCTCTCTCTCTCTGCCCCTCCCCCACTCGTGCTCTGTCTCTCTGTCTCTCTCTAAAACAAACATCAAAAAAAATTTTTTTTTTAATGGTAAATTGTATAGGTGCCTGGGTGGCTCAGTCGGTTAAGCATCCGACCTCGGCTGCGGTCATGATGTGGCAGTTCATGAGTTCAAGCCCCGCGTCGGGCTCTGTGCTGACAGCTCGGAGCCTGGAGCCTGCTTCGGATTCTGGGTCTCCCTCTCTCTCTCTGTCCTCTCCCACTCACGCTCTGTGTCTCTCAAAAATGAACATTTTTTAAAGAAATGGTAAGTTTTATGTTACATGTATTTGACCACAATTTATCAAATCAAAAAAAGTGTGAGGAACGGAAGTCACATACACCGCTGGTGAGGCTACAAAACGGGGCAACCACTGCAGCAACTTGTCTGGCTGTTTCTCAATAAAGCTAAACACAGAGTCATCGTAGGACCCAACAATTCTGCTCCTAGGTATATACCCAAGAGCAATGAAAAACAGAAACATCACGCTAAGTGGAGGAAGCCAGTCACGAAAGACGCATGCTGCGTGGTTTCGTTTATACGAAATCTGCACGACAGGCAAACCTACACAAACAGAAAGCAGATGAGTGGTTGCCCAAGGCTGCGGAGGGGTTGCAGGGAAATGGGGAGCGACTGCTAATGAGGATGGGGTTTCTTTTGGGGATGATAAAAAGTGGTGACGGTTGCATTTCTGTGGGAATGCACTAAAACTCACTGAAATGTACACGTTAAGTGGGTGGATTATATGGTATGTGAATTATATCTCAATAAAGCTGTATAAAAAAAAAAAAAAAGGAAAAAGAGGCTTCCCACCAAGATGGGAAGCGGGGCCAGATGACCTTCTTCCATTCCAAGGCTCGGTGATTTTCTGTTCCAAGGCTTGGCGATCTTTGGCTGCCTGCCCCCTCAAGGTTTGGCCCCAGGAGGGCTTTCTCAGCAGCTCACGGACACACTCCCTCATCGCCGTGCTTGCTAGTGGCTGAGTCAGAAGCTTCCCGGCAGAGCACCCCCTGCATCACGCTGTCAGCCTGGCCCCCTGGGTTGGTTTGTTTTTCCAGGGCATAAACGTATTTTATGGAGAAATAAAATGCACAATAATAAAAAGGGGGAGGGGAGTGTTTCCACAGGCTCACATTTTATCCAAAGGGGCCGTGATTTGGCATCCCTGGCTCGAATATGAAATTATTACACAGGAATTGACTCTCGGTGTCTCCGATGCTCCCTGGGATGATTGCTTCTATAACTTATGGAGACAGCCGAGCGTTTGTATTCAAGTGATCACATAAATTAATATCCATATGTGGAAATGCTGTGTTGGGAGCAGACCCGGTTTAAGAATGCTTGCCTTGTAATGATCCTTGTACCTGAAGGAAAATGCCCATCCCGGGGCTCCCAGGGAAGGTCTGGTTCGTAAGGGTTTGAAGGGAAAGACGGCATGCAAAGCGCTCCCCCTTTAAAGTGATGGAGAGCCGTGTGCTGTGTTCAGGCGTGATGTCATCCGAGGGAAGGAAGGGAACGAACGGCTTTTTCGGAAAAAAAAAAAAAAAATTTTTTTTTTTTAAATCAATAAATCCAAAAGCATGTGCCTTAAAATGTAATGTTTTGCTCCTCTGGGATGGGTTTAGCCCAAAGTTCTAATTATATGTGTGGCGGTAAAGGCCTCCTTAAGAGATTGCCAACACCATGCCAAAGGATGGCGGGGGCGGGGGGGGCCGCCGTGGCAGCTCCCGCAGGAATTAATGATGGGCTTTGTGAGGGTAGGGCAGGGGATCGGGGAGTAGACGACCCAAATCCTGCCCTCAGGTCGTCGCAGATCACGTAGGTGAGACCAGAAGCCACAACTGGGCAAGGCCGCCCGCGCTGGGGCCTAGGGAGTCATGGGGGCACGGTGCCCTGCACAAGTCGGGCGCTCGAAAGAGATCTGCTGAATGAAAATACAGGACGGGCACCTGGGCGGCTCAGTCGGTTAAGCGTCCGACTCCTGATCTCAGCTCAGGTCTTCATCTCCGGGTTGTGAGTTCAAGCCCCGTGTTGGCTCCGTGCCAGGCGTGAGCTTGTGCGTGCCTGGACATTTAATTCCATTTCATTCATTCTGGAGCTCTTCAACACCGGGGAGATTTATAACCTTTTCAGGTGATGAATGACAATCATGTGCTCAATAGAAAGCGCTAGATAGGACCGGCCTCCTACAGATTCGGTCACTTCCCTCCCTCCCTGGCAGGGAGGAGATTTCCAAGAAATCTCGAGAAAGGCACTTCTAAGGTTCTGATGGCACAGACCTGTCCCTCAGCAGCAGCGGTGTGCTGGTAAATATTTAACAACTGGCTCTCCCGGGATGGGGAAGGCCCGTCTGTAGCGCTCGCCGATTCCTGTGGTGTAAATACTCCCAGTGTGGTCAGATTTCAAGCTCTCGACTTGACATCACCCGCTGCAGAGTTGGGAAGAGATGTGTATAATTGGTTCTCATCGGCTGGCTGCTGCCAGAGGGCCGATCTCTCCCTCGGACTGTGCTGACTCTTCTGGAACACACTGGCTCCCCCCAGACTCTGTTCCCAGGAGGAGCAGTGAGGAGAACCTGGAAACATTCCAGCAAAGCCTCAGCTATTCTCCCTCATCTAGAGAAGATTCCCTGCCCCCCCTCCTGCCTCCCGCCCCCAATCTCTCCTGGCTTTTTTAAAACGTTTATTTATTCATTTTTGAGAGACAGAGAGCAAGCAGGGGAAGGGCAGAGAGAGGGGGACAGAGGATCCGAAGCAGGCTCTGTGCGGACAGCAGCGAGCCCGACACGGGGCTCGAGCTCCCGAACCATGAGATCATGACCTGAGCCGAAGGCTCTACCCAGTGAGCCCCCCAGGCGCCCCTCTCCTGGTTTCTGAAGGACTCGAACACCAGCCACCTGAGAGAAAAGCCTCGCCACAGAGCAGCCTGACTGCCGTCTTTTCGAAGGTTATGCTTTCCCAGGACCTAGTATTTCCTAACGAGGAAATGGCAATCAAGATTGTTCCCCACTAAGGATGAGCAGTGGAATGACAGACAGAGAAACCACGGAGGGGGGACGTTGATTGGCAACGTCCACGGCAGCTCCCGCGTCCTTCTCTGTACCCGAGATGGGATTGCCTTCGAGAGCAGCGGGCCCCTATCTAGTCTGGCTTCCTCCTAGATCTTCTTCTGAGACCCCCGCAAGGCCATGGCCACACCTCTGGCTGCAGGCCTTTGGAGCCGGGCCCCCAGCCTCGGCTCATCACGCGGTGTGGCCCACTGCGTCCTTGCTCGGCAAACACCCCCTCCTCCCGCGCCTGCCCCAGCCCCAGCCCCTCGGTGCACCCCCTCCCGGTCCCCACTAATGTGGGGTTCAGCCAAGTGGCTCACTTTGGTCGATGGAACCGAAGTCAACAGGATCCAGTCGGAGGTTTTCAAACGCGCTTCCTCGTTTGGGCCTGGCCTCCCGAACCCCTGCCGTCGCCAGGAGAATGAACGTGCCTCCAGGTAGCTGCTGCAGCTTCGCGTGGGACTCTGGAATGAGAGATGCATGGAGCTGACCTCAATCCAACCCCTAGGCTGCAGCCGAGAAGCCACAAGCATCCAAGGGTGAGGCATCAGGGTTTGTGGTAAGCCACGGGGATTTGGGGGTCATTTGTTATGCAGCTGGGTGCTACCAATAATTATTACAACCACTCCAGGTCCTGCTTAAGCCCAGAGCCCCGAGAGGCATCTGGGCGGCTCAGTCGGTGAAGCGTCCCGCTCTTGATTTCGGCTCAGGTCACGATCTCACGGTCCGGGGTTCAAGCCCCGCGCCGACAGCGAGGGGCCGGCTTGCGATTCTCTCTCCGCTCCTCCCGGGCTCGTACCCTCTCTCGGGGTCTCAAAATAAATAAACCAACCTGAAACACACAGAGAGAGCCTGGATCAGCTTGTCGATCCGGGAAGGCTTCGCTTTGCACCAATGTGGTGTCAGGGACCTCCTGGCAAACCAGCAACGAAAGGAACGTGCGTACTTTTGCCCCCTTACGACCGCGCACGTATGCCTTCCTGAAGTAGGAGTGGAGTCTGGTTTAGCCTTTCTCTCCGACAACGAATCATTCGCCAAGGACCTACTGCATCCCGGACCCTGGGCGTCTGGTACCTGGAATCCACCACACCAAGAAGGCGAGAGCGCTCCTCGGGAATGCGAGCACAGAGAAGGGATTACGTGTGAAAGTCCAAGTGAATGACACAGATACAGAGCGCAGGGCATTCAAGAGGGAAGGAACCCTCACCTTTAAGTTTCAAAAGAGGCAGCGGGAACCAAGAAAGGCTTCACAGAAGAGGAAGGAACGGAAGTAAATCCCACAGGAAGAGCTGGTCTCAGGGGCAGGCGTGAGATCAGACAGATCAGACCCGTTAGCGGGAACGGTAAACTGAGTCAGGTCACGGTCGAAAGACTCGATATTCTCACTCTACCTGATCAGAAAGATTACTGACAGCTACAATCTTCAAGACAGTGGGCTACTGATGGAGGGACAGGAGCACAGATCCCCGGGGAAGAACGCAGAACTCCCAAAATACACCCACACTTTATGGTTACGTCAAAAGATGGCATTTTCCGGGGCGCCTGGGTGGCTCAGTCGGTTGAGCGTCTGATTTCGGCTCAGGTCATGATCTCACTGCTCATGAGTTCGAGTCCCACATCGGGCTCTGTGCTGACAGCTCAGAGCCTGGAGCCTGCTTCGGATTCTGTGTCTCTTTCTCTGCCCCTCCCCCGCTCGTTCTTGGTCTCTGTCTCTCTCTCCAAAATAAACATTAAAAAAAAATGGCATTTTCTATTAAGTCCACCTTATCCTCTTAATACCCTCCTATTTTCTTCTGATTCTGTGCTTGCTACCGTTGGTATATTTTTGCTTTGTTTTTATAGTTAACGCGAATGCACCCAGAATTTGGTGGGAGGTGGGGTGCACAGACAGAGCCTGGCGTAAGTTACAAATCCAACTTAGGCCTCCGTACCAATAAATTGTGCGCACGGCATCTATTAACTAATCATTCCTATATCTGCTATTCGGCTATTTGGTTTGTCGTGGATTAAGTCATCACCGGGTTTTACGTCTCTTCTAGAATCGTTCCCATCCAGTGGATCAGTTCTCCGTTGTAGAGCCAATTACGTAGGATCTTGCTTATCACAGCCGTATAACCACCCCTTGACATTTGTAGGGAATAAAGAAAAAAAGATTCAGGATTCTATTTTGTGGGCAAGAAGAACCATTAGCAATTTTCAACCATAACAAAGCAGACTTCCTATATTTGGAGTTAATCAGAGGGAGGTGTGTGAAATGTAGAAGGTAGAGCAGACCTGGAGGTCAGGAGCCTGGGCGGCAGCCTTAGACGATAAGGCCTAAATGCAGGCAGGGACGACGGAAAAAAGATGCAAAGCTACATTTATACAATCAGAATAAGGTGGCTCTACAGAATCTTCTAAAGCATGTACTCACAAATATTCACTCTACAAATGAGGAACCTGAGGGCCAGAGAAGTGAAGTCACTTGCTCAGGACCACACAGTGAGTTAGGGCAGAGCTAGGAACACAGCCGGGGTGTAGAACATGCAACTCTTAATCCCAGGGTCATGAGTTCAAGCCCCACATTGGGCATGAAGCCTACTTTAAAGAAAGAAGAAGAAGAAGAAGAAGAAGAAGAAGAAGAAGAAGAAGAAAGGAAGAAATCCTACTAACAGTGGCTTGAGTAAGGAGTTTCTTTTTCTCTCGTAGGAAAAATCCAGAGAAACATACAGAATCCAGGGCTCATGCAGCTACTTAGGTTATCACAGACCCCTCTGTCCTCCTACTCTGCTGTCCACTGCTTGTGGGGTTCATCCTCATGGTCCCAAGATGGCTGCTGCACCTCCAGGCACAGTATCTGTATTCCAGGCAGGGGGAAGAAAAAAAAAAAAAAAGACAAGGATTAAAGGTGTTCTCTCTTCCAGAAAATGTTTATCTGTTTAGGAAGGGAAACCCTTCCCGGAGATTTCTGCTTACCTCTCGTTGGCCAGGACTGAGTCACATGGCCACCAGCCTCTCTAACGTAACCTAGCAATTTGAGAATGTCACTCTCTCACCTCTGTGGTAGAGCGTGAGAAAGCAGAAGGGAGTCGGAACGGGTGTGAGTGAGACTAACTGGAATATTTGCCTGATACCGGGTCTCTTATCTCCTGGTCCAGGGCTCTCGGTATTTTACGCTGTGACAGGGCTGGCCGCGCTGGGGTAGGCGGGGGTGAGGGGCCACACTACTTTATCTGGGCCAGAGCCAGGGAAGATGGCCACCTCTTTCTCAGATATTGATAAGGCTTCCTGAAAGACTCGAGGCCCTAGAAGCTGCTCGAAAGAAGGGAGACAAAGTGCCGAGGTCTGGTGGGCAAGGGGAAGCAGGCAGGTCATTTACGCCACAACAAACTATTAATTACAAGGCACTTGGTCTCCAGACCCAGGCCTGGGAAGTGTCTTGAAAGTGGAATATAGAAGATCAGATTAAAGGAATGGACGGGAGTCAAGAAAATGTCCTTGGAACGAGGGCAAGAAAACAAAACGGAAAACCAAACGAAAGGAAGTTGATCTTGGGAGGTCAGCTTAGGAGGGGTGAAATCCTGAACGGCCTCTGCCAGAAATGAAAGCAAACGTTCTCCCCTGGCACCAACCACGATGGAGATGCCCCAGCGTGCTAGGTTGACTTGCCGGATGGGTCCTTGGAAACGTGCAAAGAGGCCACAGAAAGGAAACTAAAATGATGACGAAGCTCGTTGGGCCAAGCAGTGTGGCAGGAGAGATCAGGGTTCCCACTCCGGCTCTGTACCACCTGGATCTAACTTCTGGGAACCTGCCTGGGGGTAGTGACCTCTCCGTTCCCTAGGGAGGCAGGGAAATCAAACGACAGAAAACCCAGGTCAAGGTGATTTCAGCAAAGGAAAGGGATTTACTGGCACACATAACTGAAATATCCTGGGGCAGGGCTGGCTTCAGGGTCAGTGGGATCCAGGGGCTCAGACAATGAAGGTTCTGACAAAGCGTGATTCTCTTCTCCGCGAGAAACAGCAAGTTCTGCAACGGTCTCTCTGGGACACACTCGGGTCACAGACCAACCTCTGAACCAATCAGTGTGGCCAGAGTGGGATGAGGGGACAGGTTCAAATGCTCCGTGCGTCCCACTGCTGCAGTGAGTCAGAGAGGAATGGCTCGTCCAAACACAGTGTGGGTTCTGGATCTAGAAGGGGGACCAGACGTTGGACAGGCAAAGAAGCCAGAAACATCAAAACCTCCCAATCAAACAAAAAAACTGCCTTTTCCTTGTGTCCAGACCTGAGGATTAGAACCCTAGCTACTTCCAGCCTTGTCAAAGAAATTGTCAGAAAGACTGAACTGAAAAGGCCCTTTGAAATCATCTCTCCCCACACCCGGGCGCGGAGAGGGAAAGAGGCCCGCCTAAGCGTGTAGGGCTAGATCAGCCGCAGAACAGACTAGAAAAGACTTACCAAAAGTCAACCAAGCACTCTTTCACTTCCGCCTGCAGCTTCTCTGGGAATGGTGTATAAACGACTAAGCAAAACCCTGGAGAATGTCACCAGAAATGGGGACAGGTCTGGCCAGCCTACTGTGATAGCTCAGCGAAGAATTTCTTTAGGGGGAAAGAATCCTCTTGGGAATGACGGAGGCTGGGTTGCATAAAGGGCCTGGATGTCTGAGGCCCTCGGGCCCAGATCAGGGACAGTGTGGCTAAAGAGGGAGGGGGTGGCAGGGCGCTTTTCCATGACAGGCTGACTTGGGCTTCAGAGGGCAGGTCCAGGGCTGAGGGACCCCTTTAAGACATCACATTAGAGACAGCGATGGAACAAGTTGGCTGAAGGGCTGCAAGAAACCACGCACCACCTTTCTTCTTCTTCTTTTTTTCTTTTTAGCAAGCTCTGAGCCCGACAGGGGGCTCGAACTCACGACCCCGAGGTGGAGAGTTCCGTTCTCTGCCGACTGAGCCAGCCAGGTGCCCCCACACACCTGCTTTCTGATACCAACAGCCAGGTGTCCTATCGGTAGTGCCTCAAAGGCCTGCCACCCTGACTGGCTCCCCGCGATGAGATATGTCTCCCCCGGCTCCCCAAGGAGGTCAAGTATTCCCTTCACGTTTTCACCAAAAGGGAAAATATGGCCCCTGCACCTGGCCCCCCTTTGATCTTTCCCTTCCCTGCCAACATCCAGGCCCGACAGGACCATTTCTCAGACGCTCGGAGACGCCCTTAGGAAGTTTACCTGGACAACACAGCCACGTCACGGAGGAAAGCTTTTCAGAGGGGCTTTGTTACCACGCTCTTTATTGTACGCTGCCTTTTTCTCTCCTCGTCTTTTCTTACAGGACCCAAGTGGGAACACCAAATGGCTTCAGGCCTTAAGGAATCTGAACGGATTATCGTGATTACTTAAACAAGGGTTTTCTGGAACTCTGAGCCAAGTGGGATAGAGAACGAAACTTCTAAAGTTATACCCTCCCAGCGATTGGTCAGATAAGTGTGGGGCCTGAGCAAACAGACAAACCATGAACATTTCTCCCATTAACTCTTTCAAGGTCTAGAAAAACACACGCCGGAGGCCTATGCCCCAAGGGGCCCGGGGACTCTAGAATATACCAAGGCAGGCCTTCATTCCTTAAATAAAAGTTCTTTCTCCGGCTGCTTTTACTCATCCCCTTTCCTGGTGGGGGGGGAAGGTGCTCACGAGAGGCATCCCACCTGCCAGTCACCACAGCAGCAGAACCAGACGAATCTCCCTAGTTCTGCAGACCTAAGCGGGGACCGGCAGGACGGACGTGGCTGCTGGCCTGTGCCCAGGCACGCTGTCACAGACCAGGCCGCCCCAGTGTCAGAGCATAAAAGCAGGGAATGGTTCACGCGCCCCTGCCCCCCTCCGCCACCCCTTTGCCCGGTCTGGAATTGGCAGGGTCCACAGGGTTTGCCTATTTTTTGGTTTAATCCATTTTTCTTCATTTGTCCAAGCTGCGAGTGTTGGGTCTGCCCTTCATTGACATAAAACCTATCCCCTGAAGCAGCCAGGGTTCCCCCAGACATGTCCATAGGTGCTGCTGAAATCCGGAGACAACCCCGACAAACGCCGGAGAGCACCGGGATGGGAAAGAGCTGGAAGTTATCCAGAAATTGGCAAACCCCGTGGACCCTGCCAACTCCAGACCCGGGAAAGGGGTGGCGGAGAGCGGCGGGGGCGCGTGGTTTCGTGTCAACCCCTCTTCAGTCTTCCTGGGAAAGGGCCCACCCAAAGCCAGCCCTCGGTCTAGGCCTCCCCAGACCACGCTGCGCTGAGGCCTCCCTTTCACCGTGCCAGAGCCGCGGGGGCACCGCCCGGAGCCCCCAGAACCCACCCACCGCGCCCGTGCCATCTCCAGTCCTGCGGGCAAGGGGGGTCAATGTCGTTCAAGTAATTTCTCTGCGAACACAAGATGGCAGCCTTAAATAAATGCAACCCTGCGCAGCTTTTAATCTTACACATCATTAAATTCCTAATTTACACATTATGTTTTCGTGGGCCAACCCATAACTCATTAGTGTTGAACTCACGAGGTATAAAGACCAACGCACGACGGGCGCCGGGGCGCAGTCACCTGCCTGGGTTAACAGTTCCTGCCGCGGGGGCAGGGAGGAAGGCGCGAGAAGGCCGCCGGGGCACCCACGAGGCCGAAGCTGGGGCGCGGGCGAGCCCTGGGTGCCAGGCCCCGCGTTACAGGCCGCGCTCGAAACTCTGCGGCCGAGAAAGTGCCGGGGCCGGCTCCCTCCCTTCACTCCCGGGTCTCGAGCGCGCGCGCGCGCTCACACACACGCACACGCACACACTCACACTCGCACACCCGGGTGGCCGCGCGGGGCTCCGAGCGGCGCAGGCCTCCTTGGCAGACATCTTCCTGTGGGAGGATTTCAAACGAGCCGTGAAAGCCAGAAACTACACGGGTTACAAACTCCGGAATCCCTGGCCGGCCCGGGCCCCCTTCCCACCTCCGACGCGGCCCCTCTGCTCGGCGCGGGGCCAGGAACCCACTAAAGGGCAAAGCGCGCCCGCCGACGGTGCGGGGAGACCCGGGGGGCGCAGGGACTGCCCGAAGTCCCGTCTCCCTTCCGACCCGGGGACCGGCGGCCGAGTGCCGCGCAGCCCAGCTCGGCCTCGTCCGGCTGGGGTGGCCCAGGGCGACCCGAAGCGGGGGGTGGGGTGGAGGGCTGGCCGCCGCTCTCCAGAGAACGACGTCACCAGGGCGCAGCTGACAGCCCCAGGCCCCGGCCAAGGCGCACCACAAGGCGGAGGGAGGCTGGTGCCGGGAAGGGCCTGGGGGCCAAAGGAAGCAGCCTTCGCGCTGGGGCGAGGCCCCAGGCGGGAGCACCGAGGCCGGCTGTCCTGGCGGCGAGGGCTAGGAACGGCCTCGCCCTGCGCAGAGCCGGCCAGGCCCTCGAGGTGCTCCGTGCCTTCCCAGCCAAAAGCCAGCTCCGCGCCGCGGCGGAGTGGGAGGGAGGAGGCAGGGCGCGCGCCCCGCCCTCGCCGCCCGCGGTCACAGGGGCAATTACACTCCTCGCTGCAGACGGTTACCAGCTCGCCCGCGCATCCCTCTCCCCCCTCCTCTCCTCTCTCCTCCCCTCCCCTCCTCCGCGGAACTGCTGGCTCCATCTTAGCGAGCGCGCCCGGGAAGCCCCGCCGAGGCCAACCGCCTCTGGGGACCTCCCCGGGTTGCTGTCGCGCTGCGCGCCCCCCAGGTCGCCCGGGCGAGCCCTCCACGCCCCGCAACACGTCCCACGAGCGCCACAGCCTCGGAAGCGGCTGTTGCGGTCCCGAAGGGGCGACAGGAGCCTTCTCCAAGCTCTGCAAGACCCCTGCAGCCCCTATTTGCCCCGCAATCCTGTCCCCAGCCAGTGCAGCCACCCCAGCGCCCCAAATCCCAAGCACGCCTCCGTTCTCCAGGTCTCTCCTGCGTCCGGCCGGTGTGCTTTCCAAATGCCAACTGGATGCCTAGACCACTTGTCTGAAACCCTCCGAGGCCTTTGCGTTACCAGACGTCCACTGCCACAAACAAACCGCGCCCCTCCTTCCTGCCGTGGTTTTATACTATTACAGAAGGTGTCTTTGAAGCTGTGAGTGAAAACTCAGGTTTTGGATTAAGAGCTTCATTTCCACCCAACTGTGATTTGGGGCAAATTTCTTAACCTCACTTTCCTTATCTGCAAAATGGGAGACACCGAGCCCATATAAATGCGGGGCTGTGGGGTTTAAAGAAGATAGATGTGTGTGGAAATGACTTGGTACAAAATCCTGGTGGTTAGCATGATTGTTACCATATGGCCAGAACTGTGGCGGCACTAAAGGTGAGGTGGCCTTCTTCCGACCAAGAGTGAACCCCTGCGGAGTCCAAGGCCGCAGCTCACGAGTCGAGGTGAGCCCAAGCCACCGGCTAGGCCTGAAGGGAGGACAGAGGAGTCGAGGGGCAGCCAAGGGAGCGAAACGCTCAGCCTTCGGCCTTTGCAAATGAATAGGGCTCTGTCTGCAACGCCTAAGGCTTAAACCTGGCGCGGCGGTAAATTTAGCCTGAAGGCAGCGCCTGCTAAGGGGCGGGGATGTCTCCTAAGGGGAAGGAAAGGGAACTGGGTAAGAAAATGGAGTTGCCTCCAGGAAGAGGAATCAGGGAGAGGAAACATTCAGGGCCGCTGGCAGTCCACTGGCAAAAAGAAATCGGGCGAGAAAGAAAAAAAAAAAAAAAAAAGGCTCCCCAGAAATTGGGCCACCGTGGGAGCCGCGAGACAGACTTCCCATCTGGGAAGGGCTGCCTACGGGTAATTGGGTTTGCTCGAGTTGCCTCTATAATTAATAAGTGATTTGACTTGGAGATTGGAAATAGTCGTTGAAAGGAAGCCGCGGGCGTAGGGGTGCGAGGCCCGCGAACCTCCCTCCAAAATCCAATGACCGCCGAGGAGGACGGTTTAAGGAACACGAGGAATGTGATAATATTGGCATCTAACCTTCTAGTGTTTGAGTAATTCGTTGCTTAGCTACTTTGGATAGGCCATTATTTTGCAAACTGGAAACATTTGCAAGTGGTGATATTTTGCTCCTGCCTGACGCAGGGGCTGCAAACCTACCTCGGCTCTGCTGAACTCTTCGAAATATATATGCATAAATTGTTCCTAATGAGACCATCTGTTTTTTATGGCCCCTCTGGAAGCAGGAGGAACCCGAAGACTGCTCTGTCTTGCAGAAATCTGTGGCCAGGCAGGCCCGGGAAATAAATAGGGAAGATTAGAAGGGTGTACGTGATTTAACAATATGCAGACAGGGGGTTCGGTGGCAAATGTATGCTTGGGCTCCCAGGGGTGCCGGACACTTAGGGTGGCTCTGGGCTGCCTGGAGCACGAGGATTCCAGCCAGCGAGCCTGCTAGAAGGCCCAGGGACTGTGCGGCTTTTCACAGCACACACGAACCTCGTTTTTGCATGCCTGGAACGTCACCAGAGCCTCCACGCGAAACCGCAAATCTGCCACCGCGCTGGGGGACCCAGGACACGTAGCCGGCGGTGGGGGGTGGGGGACGGCGTCGCCCACAAGCCCGGGCCTTCCCCTCCTCCCCTGCGAAGGTGAAGGGAGCCGAGCCTGGGGCACGGAGCCTGAGAACGCGCCTCACCCCACCCCACCCCCGGGCCGGAGCCCGGCGCTCACCGGAGGCCTGTCCCAGAGGCTGAGCTTTCTGCCCGACGCGCGTCTGGCAGGCCCAGCGGCGCGACCTGAGCCTGCACCGAGGGTGGCAGGGCAAACACTTTTCACATTACCCGGTGGTTGTTAATTGGGCAGTGCAAAAGACGCCGAGCCTACCCCTTTGTGGCGGGGGGGTTAAGAGTGGGCAGTGGGGGCTGCTTAATAATAGAGGGGCTGCCCTGGGGAGCCTCAGATATCGGTAACCCCCATGATTAATTCATAACTCTCCACTGCGCCTGGCACCGTCTCGGGTCTTTAATCGGTTCTGAATGTCAGCGAGGCTTCCCCGACAGGCTGAGCGCAGCCTTTTGAATGTGTTGAAAGTCGCTGCGCGCACACCAGGAGACAAAGTTGCCATCTGCTCCGGGGACCACGGCAACTGGGCGCTGGGAGGGGCCTTCCTCCCGCGGCTCCGGCTGCCCCGGGCGGCCTCCTCTTCCCGGCCGGCCCCAATCCTGCCCCAGAGCCAACACCGGCCCCCGCACCACCCCCGCCCCCCGCCCAGGGCGCACGCCCGGTGGAAACTCCGGCTCGCGGCGAAGTGGAGCGCTGCGCTGGGGCGCACGGGGAGCCTCGCCGTCACTCGGACCCAGGCCTATGCTAATGAGATTACGAACTAGGGTTGTTTATGTCCTCGGACCTGGGGGGGGGGGGGTAGGCGGGCAGATAAAGTGTGGAGGAAAGGATGACTTAGGGGAGAGGGGGAAGCCCTGGGAGAACAAAGCTCCGGGCCGTCGGCCTCCCAAGAGTCGCAGAAGTGACCGCCACGGGCTCGTGCACAGGCGGAAGCGGGGGGAGGGAGAGAGGCCGGGCCTAAAGCGCCCTCGCAGGTTTGGAAAACGCTGAGAGGGCACAGGGGGTGGGGAAAGTCGGAACCCGTAGCTAAAGGTTTGGCCCTTAGGCTAGTTTTTAAGGAAATGGATCTCAGGAAGGGGAGGAGGCACCACGCGCCCCGGAGAAGTGGGAGGGAGAAGCCCTGTCCCCCTCACCCCCCCCCCAACCCCCAGCTAGCAGAGCGTGTGCGGTGACCGACCTCCGCGCTCTGGACCAGGAGGGGGACGGAGCCGTCTGGCCGCCGCGGGCCTGTGCTTCCGCACCCCCCAGCTCTGCGCGTCGCCTGTCCCCGAGCGCCTCGCCTCCCAACTGTAATCCCACACTCCCGCGAGCGCTGGGGCTGCGGAATCGTTTGAGTTGGAACTGCATCAGATGAGAACGCCGGGAGGTGAGATCGGGTAGGAAATCGTGGAAACTTAAGAGTTGTGCGCCGTCGCCTCCCCCCCACCCCGCCCCGCGCACACACACATAATTTCCCCTCCCCCTTTCCAGCCGCCGCCTCCCCCACCCTCTCGATTCTTCAAGGTTTGCAGCCCAGTCCTGTCATATGGTTTTGTTTCTGTGCTGCTGCTTTTTTTCAGACACGAAAATTGGACACGTGGAGAATTAGCCGGGCTGGAGAAGCGCTGGGTGCAGACTCAAACAATGGTTTCCAGCAGCGGAGCGAAAGGAGGCACCTTCCCACCTCACCCCCAAAGGCAGCAGCCTCAGCGTATGGTGGGAAACACCCTCATCATTGCCCACCCCTCCCTCAGAGCCTAGGAAAGGTCCAGCGTGGACCCCTTCCCAAGACACACGCCCCTGGGGTGCGCCTGGACCGGCATGCTGGCTCTGAGATCATTGTGCCAGGGGTCTTTGGGGACTTATAAATTATAAGGGATTCTTTTCCCCTGGGAAGGTGTGGCATCAAAGACGCCACCCCGAATACTAAAGTTTACGGACCCAACCGGGCTCCGGGCTCTCCACTCTTTGGCAATTGTACCTTTCCTAGGCTGCTTGGAGCCTTCCCCCTTCTCGTCTGATGAGCCAGTCTCCAGGTGGCTGGGCCTCCAGAGCAGCTTCCTTTAGCCATTGTCTTCTCCAGAGGCCCCATGCTCCACGGCAACCCCAACCTTGGCCTCCAGCTTCTGTGAGCCCCCCCCCCCCCCACCAACCCTGACTCTGCTCCATTGGCAGCAGCCACAGCCCTCACCCCCAAACAGCTCCACTCGCCCAAGCAGGCCTGAGCACCTCGCCCGGGCACACACACCCCGCAGCACAGAAGCTCTGCCTCCCGGAGCTGGTTTCCTCTTACAGGCTCCTGTCAGAGCTGTTGGGGCTGTGGCGGCGCTTGCCTGCGGCTCCCAGTGCAGCCCTGGGTCTCCCTGCAGCGTGTGCGGCAAGCTGTGAACCGGCCTTCTCTTCCCTTCCCGCAAAGGTCAAGCCATCTCCTCCAGCATGGCCGTGGTGCACTTCTGGCCGCAGAGCTCCTACGCTGCAGCCTGGGTATGGAGATGGGGTGGGTATCCATGCAGGGGAGCAGTCCCCCCCCCAGCCCCGCGGCCCAAGCCAGTGGGGGGCAGGGACCAAGGGATGTGAGATTCAGGAAGGGAAACACAACACGGCAGACAGACCCCAAAAGCAGTTCAGGACTTGCAGCCTGAGACCGAAGAGAGGGAGAGAAACCCAGGCAAAGGCTGTTGGGCCTTGACTCCTGAAGGGGAGGCCTTCCCCCCCCCCCCCCCCCGCCAGGGGTTGCCCTAGGGGAAGGTGGGGAGAAATGGCCGCAGTGTCCGCACTGTGTCCGGTGCAGGTCCTGGGGCCCCACCACCTCCCGTCAGGCTGTGCTTCGCTCCTAGCAGGAGTCAGAAGCAAGCAAACCGTCCAGGACTGAGAATTCAGAGGCCTCGGGTATCAGGTCAGCGGCGGCGCCCCAAAGAGAGACCCCAAGAGAGGCCTTTCTTCCGCCGCAACCCCAGGGAGGCTACTGAGTTCTGCAAAGCCGCAGGAAGACTACAACATCCCGATGTGGAGAAAAATGAGAGGAAACGCCATTAAACTTGCTTCCTCCAAGGGGCACTACCCCCAGTTTTCTCTGAACTGTACCTAAAAAGTCAGGAGAGAGAACTCATTCACTTTTGTTTGGTTTAACATTGCCAGCTTCAAGTCAACCGTGGGCCCCCCGAAGGTTTCGTAAAATATTTAATCTAGCTCAGACAATTTCCTGCAGTCCCTAACCGGACCACCCCACTTACTGAACAACTGCCAAAAAGCAGGCTTGGCTGCGGGCTGGCAACCGCGGGCCTTCCAGCGGCCTGGCCGGCCTGTACCCTGCACGCAGGAGCCTGGACAAGGCCCTTCACAGAATCCAGGGACACCAGGTCTGGGTTACCTGGGAGGCCCAAAGCGGTAAGGAAGGAAGAAGCCCAGGAAATGAAGTTAAAGACACTTGCTTTTCTCACTAAGCTTGTGCTGTCTGTATGACCCGCTGGCCCTCACCCTCCCCGAAGTCTGTGAAATGGGCCTGTGGATGTCTCACCTCTCTGGCGTGCTCTGCGTTTTGGAGAGCAGCACTGGGGGGGGGGGGGGACTCCCTGTGTGCCTCCCTGCGCCCTCTACTCTCATCCCTTCGCTGTTTTCCTCCCAAACATCTCACCAGGGAACCTAGCCAGCCAGAAAGGGATCCTTCGACTGCGCTGAGCCTCAGCCCCTTCCAAACGTGAGGCTCACGGGGAGAACTCCTGCTCTGCCCAGTTTCCATTCCTGCTTCCAGAATAACGAGCCGAAAACATGTGTACTGTAAATAAAGCCTGTCTAAATAAAGCACTCGGGTAAAGGCTGCCGAGAAAACACTCGGCATCGCTCTGTGCTCAGAGCGTGAGTCAGCTTCCCAGCTCCCGGGGAACAATGGAGACCTTGCCAAGGGTCCCCTCCTGTCAATCCCTGAAGGCCCCCAAGCCCATGTAGGTGGTGGAGACGACGGCCCATTGGGACCGTCGACCTGGAGATTCGGGGGGGGGGGGGCGGGGGGGGGGGCGCTCCCGACGGCCGAGGTTGGGGTCCAGCCCCGGCGTTCGCGCCGCCAGGAATCCGTCTACCCGCAGCTGCCGCGGAGGGGTTGAGGGTTAAGCAAACACCGGGCAGAAGAGCGAGCCTGGGGTGCTGTGGGGCTGCTGCCCTCGAGACGCAGACACGGGAGAGAAGGAGACGCTGGGGGCGCTCGCTACGGAGCCTCCCGGAGGGAAGACGCCCCCTCCTCATTCCCAAGCCGGGCCCTCGCCCACTCGGCTGGCCGCCTCTCTCCTCCGCAGCCTCCCAAGTCTCAACGGAAGCGAGCGTAGCAGCTGCCAGTCACCCCACTCCTTCAGCAGTCCCCATAGGCCCATACGCGTACACTAGCCGCCCCACACACATGTGCTGGGGACTCCGTGTGCGCGCCAAGGCCCAGTGAAACGGCGTCCCTTTGAGGGAGAGCGGTTTTGGGACTCGTGGCGGCCTCCGCGCCACGTCTTCTGTCCTCTGGGTTTCCGTGCGGAGCTGCGCACCCCCCCCCCCCATAGGGTTCCGACTGGGGCGGTGGCCTCTGCTCCGGCGTGGGGCCGGTGGTTTCCCCAGGCCCGGTGACCTTGAGGGTCAGTGATCCACCCCGCAGGCCCGCGGTTTCCGGAGTCGCGCGGCCGGCCCTTCCTCCCCGCCTCTCCGGCCAAGGCCGCCCAGCCGCGTCGCGCTCAGCCCGCCGGCTCCCGAGCCCGAGCGGGGGCGCGGGGGGTGAAAGCACCGAGGGCCTCACCCACGTCCTGCGGACACGCGCCCCGCTGGGGCCCGTGCTGGCGCTCCAGCAGCCTGAAATGGCCAAATCGTCCCTGGGCAAGGTTGGAGGCGAGGCTTTGGGAAGAAGGCGAGGAAAACAAGTGAAACGGGAGGGGCGGGGTGGGGTGACGGCTCATAAATCACCCAGCCCCACCCTCGGGCCTCACCGCAGAGGCGCCCCAGCCCCGCGGGAAATGGAGGGTCACTCGGCCACTCCTGGCCGACCTCTGAGCTCTCCCAGAGCCAGCGCCCCACCCTGAGCTCAGGCCGCGCTAGCACCAGCTCCCGGCCGGGATCGTAAACCACCCGCCCGATTCGGCGGGAAGCCGCCCTTGGACGCAACGCGCATCCGCCCAAGGGGAAGTTTATTTATAGCTTGTAAACGTAAAGGAAACCAGACCGCGCTGGCTCGCCGCGCTCCGGCTCCTACGCTCCCCACCTGCCCACCAGGGAGGGCGCGGCGGGAGGCGGAGGGGGTGCCTTAGTCTCTCCCTACTCCCCCCCCCCCATCCCCGCTCCGCTCCCGGCGGAGAACGGGGTAGGGTCCTAAGAGGCTGGCAAGCCTTAAATTCCTCTCGGGGTGCCTATCGGCGCCGTGAAAGCCAGAAAGGACAGAGGACAGGGCCCGGGCACCGGCGTGGCGAGGGTAGGGACGGCCGAGCTGTCCTAGTTGGCAAGCACCAGCCGGCAGGCCCGGCAGTGCAGCGCGGGATTCCGCAGCTCCCGCTCCGGGCCCGGGGAAGTCCTGGAGAGCCCGGGATGGGGGCGCTCCGGGAGCTTCTCCTTGGAAGGCGGGATGCTTCCCCCGTTCCTCCCGAGCACGTGTCCTCAGCAGAGCCGGCAAGCGCTGCGCGCCTGGGGCTGCGATCCGCGGGTGACAGCGGCTGAGAGCGCCCCTCCCCAATCCCCACCCCCGCCGTCGCCGCTTCTCCTGTGGAGCTCGACGCTCTGGGGTGCGCTCGGGGCAGGCCCGAGGAGACGGAGAAAAGGAAAAGTGTTGGAGAGATTAGGGAGAGAAGACATTAAAAAGCCTAGCCCAGAATAGACGAGCACTCCCCCCCCCCCTCCCACCCCGGCCCCAGCGGCTTCTCCCAGTCCCAGCGGAGCGCACCCACCCCCAGCCTCGGCCCGGGCAAATTCGTGTGTATGTTGTCTGTGTGTGTCTGTCTGTCTGTCGTGTGTATATCTCTTGTGTGTGTGTGTGTGTGTGTGTGTCTGTATGTCTGTCTCGTGTGTGTGTGTGTGTGTGTGTGTGTGTGTGAGCGCGCGCCCGCGCGCGCGCGCCGGGCGGGCAGTTGCGAAACGGGCTCTTGGCTGCAGCGCGGCATAATGGAGGTGGCTGGAACAATGCGCGCTTTGTGCGCGCGGGGAGTTGTTTTCCACCCGCCTCGCCCCCCTCGCTCGGGCCGTATGGCACTTTAATCCCCGCCACGGCTCGGCACAAATGCACTTGTGTCCTGCGGGTCACCGGGGGCCGTGCGGCTGGAACCGACCCCCTCCATCCGCGGACCCCACCGCCGGCTGCCCCATCTTCCTTCCTGCGCACCCACCACGGCCACGATTCCCGGCGTAGCCCGGTCAGCCGGCTTGGAAGCTTCCGGGCCCGCGGGCCACTTTTCTTTTCCGAGGAGACGGCGCGCGCCCCACCCCCTTCCTTCGCGAGCTCACACAAACACACATTTGGGCCGACTGCAGGCCCCACACTCGCCGCCCTCCCTCTCCTCGCCTCCATCCCGCCCCCGCCCCGTGCTCCGGACTCCTGCGAACAATAGTAAATGTCAACAGATTCCGCGCGGCGAGTGTCTGACTCGGCCGAGATAAGGGTGCGCGGTTGGCCCCGCGCTCCGCGCCGCCGCGGGGGGAGCCCGCCCTGACCCCGGCAGGAAAGAGCCGGCTGTGACGAAAGCCATGCCCGAGGTGGGGGGGGGGGGAGGTCGGGGGATAGGAGGGGAGGCCACCAGTCCCAGCCCGGTGGGGGAGTCTCGCCGGGAGACCAGGCCCTGCCCCGCCCCCACCCGCTGAACCCGGTGCTAATCGGGGGCCGCTGGGCACCGGGAAAGCGGCCGGGTCGACGTGGCGCTCGGGCCTGCTTTCAGCTCACACCGGGTCCGCCAGAAAAACGCTGATCCGGATCGGGACGCGGGCAGTTTTCGCCTTACTGGGAGCCGGCACCCGAAAGACGCGCAAGATTCGAGTGCCTGTCTCCGGAAACTCATTAAAAAAAATTTTTTTTAAGCGCGCACACTTTCACAGGTCCTCCTCCCCGGTCGTCCGCAGCCCACCACCCAACCGAGTTAAAATTCGCAAATTGATTCTCACGCGTTGGTATTAATGGGTTGTTCCTCTTAAATTGTTGCCAACTTTGCTAATGGATTATTATTTAAATGATTTCTTTTTTATAAAGTACGTGTTGTTTTATAGATGCGTATTTACTTAAAGAAATCAACTGCATCTATTAACATATTAAAGAGAGAATAAAGCATCGGGGCCGGTGTAATGTACTGTTCAGCCTTACTTTGGGTGCTCGCGAAGATAGGAAAATCTTATTTGTTTAATAATAAGTCACTCATGAATATGCAAATGGCATCGGTGCAGTACCTCACTTCTGTCACTATTAATGAGTTGCAAATTAATGTGACAACAAAAGGAAAATCTATTTAGTGGAGGAACTCGGTTTCCTACCTGGGGAGATCACAAGCCGGCCGGGAACCTGGATCTCCAGGAAAGAAGGGAGCGGGCACGGGTGCTTCCTCACCCAGTCTCTTCCTGGAGCCTCCGCTATTGTTTGGTCTCAGGGACGCGCATTATCGGGAGCCCCTTAAAATTCCTGCCCCGGCCCGAGGAAGAAAGGCTGCTCCAGGGTAATTAGGGCCAAGTGTGATTAATGGAAATCAGCCCACAGTTTGAAGTAAAGCAGTTGGTGAGGCAGATTTTGGAGGGGGAGTCTCCCCCTCCCCCCTCCCCCGCCCAGCTTAAAGATTCCCCAAAGCCTTTTCGGCCTCGGTTGCTTTGGGCAGTTAGGACCCATAAGGACCAAATCAGGCCTCGCAGGCCTGACCACAGGTTTTAAGACAACACCCTATGTGCCTGCATTTTACGAGGTGACTCTGCTGATGGGGAGTTTCAGAGCAGATCGGCTCTTTTTCCTACCGACCTACTTCCCAGAGGTTACAGACTGCATTCTGCTTGGCTCCTTTCTGGCCCGCACATCACAGCCTGTTTTTATTTCATCGATGGATGCTGGAGAGAATGTTTCGAATCCAGTGAAGTTTGGAAACGTCTCTGAGAAAATAAATAAATAAATGCTGAGCTGCCCAGAGCGGTAGGCTAATAGTTCAGGGGCCTGGGTAGTATTTCAAGAAGCTGTTTGACTCAGGAACCTTCTGGGGAGGTGCAAATAGTCTATATCCAACCTGACTGACGGCTACACGGTCATATACAAATGTAAAAATTCATCGGGCTGCGCACTTAGGATTTGTACACTTTACTATGTGTGAGTTATATATCGTGTTTGGGCTATCTATGACTATGCGAGGCCGCCTCAAAGCTTAGTGGTGTAAACAATAATAATCATTTCTTTTGCTCAAGACTCTTGAGACGGCTCACCTCTGCGCCACTCCGTGTCAGCTGGGACAGCTCAGCTGGAACGCGGGGATCCGTTTTCAAGATGGCTCACGCCCACGGTTGGCCAGTTGGTCCTGGCGCTGTTTCTTCTCTATGTGGGCCTCTCCAAAGATCACTTGGGCCTCCTCGCAGCATGGTGGCTGGTTGCCAAGAGCGAGCACCCAAGAGAGAGGGGGAAATGGAAGCTGCCAGTTACTTAAGGCCTGACCGTGGAAGCTAGCAGTGTTAAATCCTGCCACAGTCTATTGGCCAAGCAACCCAGCTTCCAGGGGTGGGGACGTCGTGGGCCCTTCCCTCTTATCTCTCAATGGGAGGTGAGTCAAAGAATCTTGGGGCTGTGTTTTAAAACTGACACGTAACTCACGTTAAATGAAAACAATATGTGCCTCCACGTTCTGCCTTATGTCTCACGCCTCCT